CTGACTGCAGATGTGCTTCTACCGCAGATTATTTAAACTGCAGCATGGCATTGACACACCAAACTAAATTAAATTAGCCAAGGTACTGCCGTTACAAACCACAGCATGCTGCAAACCCCACTCTAAGAGCAGAGCTCAGTCAATGGCCAGCTGCTGTTGGCAGGCCACCCTCAACAGTCTTCCTGGGATAATGGACCCAAACTATCTAGTTTAATGGCAGTTCAGGTTTGTCAGGGCTCTAAATCATATGATGGTCCAGTAGTGCAGGTAGTTAAATGAAAATATTCTGTGTGGTATAAAGTCTTCCTCTAGATAGTTCCTAGGCAATAGCTTCTACAATTCAAATTTCCCAGTTTGGGAAAACATAGCACACACAGTTTTTATGGGGATCCAGAAATTTTCTAGTTTGTGTAATAGTTAAGGGAAAACTCCCCTTGGGGACCCTACATTGCCATTTTCAGATTCCTGTGACAGGTAGAGGCCCTTTCTAGGTCTTTGTAAAGCTCACTTAATAAAAGTCTCTGTAGGGAGTGGGAAAGGGTTATATAGGCTGCAGGCCAGACAGCACATTTCCACCCAGTGTGCAAATGAGCTACAGAATATACACTACAGAAATACACACAACATGTGTGTAAATGAAATACACACAACTCTCAAAGATACTTTAGGTTCTCTAATCCCATCCCACCCCTGACCCACATCCATACCACTTATTTCTGGGGACAAACTGTCCTCCCAACACAGCCACATCACTAGGCACTGTTCAGTCTGAAAGCTCTTCCTGTTGACCTTTGCAGTACTGTTTGGAAATGCAGAGGAAAACATAGATTCAGCAGACCAAATAAAAGTCCTTCTAAAAACTGCTAAGCTAGGTCATGCCTAGTAACTTGCAACTTCAGCCTGGTACTCAGAACAGCATGGAGATTTGAAAATCTGTTCTTAATCCTATATGACAGGGATTGCTGGTCAGAAATACAACTGGACAGCAGTAAAGACCAAAAAGGTTGAGCAGAGGACAGCTATAAACCCATCACACATACACAAACCCAAGATGTGCTCAAACTTAAACCATTAGATGTGCTCTCTGGTAGCATAACCTCCTGTCAAAAATATGGGTACAATATGGAACTAAGTATGTCAGTGGACAAAGTACAGCCTCAAAAGGCATTGCAAAAGGTTAAAAGAGTCAACAATATCTAGCAAGTTGACAGCCTTTGACATGGAGCTTCTTGTATTCAGGCTGTTTAGCAGCAGCTCCAACTTCAGCCTGAACTCAAACCACTGGGGATCATGTAACTCCAGATATTTTTCCTTCTCCCTCAAGAGAGGAGAAATGTACAGTTACTCCCTAAAAATTTGTGTTCAAGTGACTTTACAGTGATACATGAGCTTGGCAACACCATGACTATTCATCTAGGCCCTTCCACACACAAACCTTCAGTTTCTGGTGACATATGGCACGGGAAAATCCAGCTCAAGCAGCTGAAGTCTGGCAAAATTATAAACAATCAGAAACATGGTCTTCTAATGGAGGCTGTTAGACAGCATTAGCTGTTGGGCCACTGTCATCTTCACAGCCAGAGAGTGATTTAATCTGTCAGTTATGTGAGCACTAGGAGTGATGAATGGCTCTTTGTATTCATTCACATCAAGTATGTAGCCAGACTGGCATACAATGTGAGGGTTCTTTTGTCTGATAGCCGACTGGATCTCTAAAGAGCTGGGAATTTGCACAAAACAGCAAAGCAGAGCCACAGAAGATACCACCCATGTTCAGAAAGAGGGATTCCCAAGGTGGATGAGTAGTGCCCTTCCTCCATGACTTAACTTGTCCATCATTATCTACACAACCTAAAAGTCACATGTCAAAAAAATAGTCCAGTTTTTCACCTCAGTTTTAGCCATCACAGATGGTCATATTTAAAATCAGAGTGGCATAGGGGCACAAATGCAGCTTGTCCAAAATTGCCAGCAGCTGGTAAGACAGCAGCCACAGGGCTCCTCTGCAGAGCCAAGCCACTTAGCCCCTGCCAGCAGCCCAGAGTTTTTGGGTGACCACACTCCTAGAGGCACTCAGCTATGCTGTCAGCATGAGGAGCAGAGCAGGGGCCCGGGGCTGCCCAAGCCAAGCTCCTTTACAGAATGACTTCTACAGACATGATTGGTGAGAGCATTTTCTGACTCATTTCTTTTGCTGCAGCAGCACAAAAGGACAAGAACTGGCCTAAAAAACTCATATCATGTTTTTACCTGGTATAAATGAGAGCAGAGTATGCTCTATCACAAGCCTTTATAAATAAAGCTGGTCACAGCTCTGCCAACTGGAAATAGGAGCTCACTCTGCCCCAGCAGCTGCTTGGGCTGGAAACTGATTGGAACAGGACCACAGGGGGACAAGAGTGAGGTGTGCCATCTGATCAAGGTCATTTATTAGCTTGGCTTTATAATTCTTGGGAAGCCAATGGCAGCTAGTCCTAAGCCAAACTCCTTCATTGCCATTAAAAAAAAAAAAAGTCAAATGTTAAAAAAAAAAGTTAAATTTTACCAGAATTTTACAAATTCTGGTAAAATTAAATCATTATAAAGCTTCGAAATACATTTGCATATTCCAACTAAAACTCTCTGAAAAGTCTCAGTTTGATACTGATTATTACATACTACCTCACAACCCCTCCTCCTGTACATGTACAGCTTCTGAGCGTCCCTCTGTTGTGCAGTCTATCACTGGCCACACTTCAACACATCCCATTGCATTTTGGCATCACTCACAAAGATTATTTCTACCATTCAGATGAATATGGCAGATTTATTTTTCTCTTATTCTTGTGATCAGTTATTTCTTATAACCTTATCCCCGTGTGGACAAGGTACGCAGACTTTGTTAGCTCAGTCAGACCATAAACAAGATAAATGACACCTTCCCTCTCTTTTCACTTTCTGAGCTGCCCTTAAACATGCCTTTTAAAGGAGAGCTGATCCTGGGAGGAGACACAGCAGAGAAAAGTGGGAGTGGATGACAGGGGATGATGGTATAGGATTTGGAAGGGATGTGCTGGCAGATTGATAGATTATGGCCACAGCATAAAGGCTTGACACCTCCTGTGCTGCTGGGGTGACCTGCTCCAGCAGAGCATGGTGCTACCAATAGCCATAACCAGAGAAAGTAGGGAAATCTTTCCCTCTCCTATTTCCCTGTAGGTCAGACTTAGGTTTCTGGAAAGGACCTTTCCTTAATTCTCAGTGCGCAGCTGGACCTAGGGCCCCATCAATCTCTACATGGGATTATCATGAAAGGCTTGAATGGCATTGTCCATCACTGCCAGAAAGCAAACCATACCCCCAGGCAGAGGACTGTCAGGGCTGGCTCCTCACTTTTATCTGGCCACTGCAAAAGGAGCTGTTGAAGTGCTGGCAAGCCATGAACTATGAGTAGGCACTGAAATCCATCCCTGTGCAATGAAATGATAAGAATTAAATGCTTAGAGCTAAGTGTGTGTTTAAGTGCTCCACTGAAAGGCATAAACCTTGAGACAGTTTTCAGAGAATATGAGACAAGGGGAAGATGAAACAACATTGACCTACAGCAGTTACTTCTGCAGGCACATGAAGGGTTTACTGTCCAGTGAGAGCATAGCCAGCTGCACTTGAACCACCAGGCCAGAGATAAAATTAAACCAGGGCACCACACAGGGGTAGCATCTGCCATTTAAACACAGCAAAGAAAAACAATACAGTCCCATACCTGTAAAGATGCATGTCACTCCAGGCATTTAATAGGTTCACTGAGCAACCATCAACCCAGATAACTGGAGAGAAGGTACCAGCTTCTCAGAGCGTTGTGTGCTCTCTCCTTTTGATAGAGGAGTCCCAGAAGTCATGCATAATTTTCATAAGGTGAGATAATAAGCTGTCAGTTGTAGGAAGCCTAGAGTTAACCACACAGAAAATAAACAGTCTGAAAACAAGAAACATGTCAAACTCCAAAACAGATTCTTTCTTTTAAAATAAAATAAGAGAGTGATTTGAACATGAAAGCTTTGGCTTAGAAGTAATATTCTAGCTATCAACAAAATAGGAGTAAAGGAGTACATTTTTGTGATTCCTGAGTGATTTGGTATGAAACATGCTGAAATTAATTCCTGATATGGATTTGCCTGTCATTCTTTGCTTTACAAGCTGCCTCACTTCACCCCCAGATTCTCCTCTTCCTTGTAGACACCAAACTATAGGGGAAAGGGAGGAGAAAGGGAGATTGCAGGACAGGGAGGCAACCTTAAAGTAACAATATATAATACTTCTGTGTGCTGGGCAGGACATCAGAACCCCTTTGTGCCTCTGAAGCACTGGCAGCCATGGCATAAATGCCAAAGATATGCCAGGCCTTTGTAAGGGCACACAAGACAGAGGCAGGTTGTGCAGATACAGCGGTTTTGGGTCAAATTCAATAATGACAACAAAGGGAAGACATAAAACTCCATTATCCTGATTTACAAGGCAGAGCAGCTCCAAGCACCTCCATTCCTATAATGGTGAAGGACAAGTTTTTCATGGCCAAGAGTGCCAGCAGAAGAAAGGACCAACCTGCAGCGTGAGCAGTCATCCTCCTCTGCCCCACTCTGGGGCTGCGCGTGACGGGGAGCCTTTCTTTTCTATTCCACAACATTTCGTTTCCTTTCCCAAAAGTAAACAAAGTTTCATTTAAGGAAGGAATGGAAATCTTGCAATTTCAATGGGAATCAAAGTGGCAAGCTTTGGTCCATAGCCCTGCACTTGCTGGCATGCCATGCCTCTGGCTTAGCTTGGGTGGAGGTTTTTGAATATTTTTTTTCGCTCTCCAGGCTATTTCACGTCTGTCTTGATCCTCCTTGATTTTCCCCCTGATTTTGCAGCATCTCTGACCTTTGTTTTGGCATCTTGTGCCCCTTTCTATTGCACCTCATTTGCTCCCAGGTAATTTTCTTGTGCTCGCCGCATTTCAAAATTTCCCATTTTTTTTTTCCTCAATAGCATTTCACCTGATCATATCTCCTTTCCAGAGTCTTTGGGAGACTTTCTCTACTGTCTTGCAAAATTTCAATGGGGATGAATGTGGCAAGCTTTGGTCCATAGCCCTGCCCTTGTTGGCATGCCATGCCTTTTGCTGGCTTTGGCTTGGATGGAGAGTTTTGAAATTTTTTTTTTGCTCTCCATGCCATTTCACATCTGTCTTCCCCTCAGCGTTCTTTCATCCTCTTTGATTTTTCCCCTGATTTTGCAGCATCTCTGAGCTTTGTTTTGGCATCTTTTGCTCCTTTCCAGTGCACCCCATTTTCTGCCAGACCATTTTCTTGATACAGAATTTCACAGTATGAAGTCTGCTGATTTCCAGTCATCTGAAGGCCTGTTGCAATGCCCACTGGAGCCAAAGGCTGTTTTTCTTCTGCCTTTGTAGGCTTTGGATTATCTCCTTACTGAAAACACTACACCTTTGAGTATTTCAAGCTGTAGTGGCAAACCCCTTAATTTCTGCATTCTTTGCTCTGAGCTATAACAGCCCATGTCACCACCACAACAATAACACTGATGGCAAACAGATCAATGTATCAATACAGAAACAATCCTGGTTTTTCCCTCTACTTTCTCCAGCCTGTCCCTTGAGGATATAAACCTAGCTGCTCCAGATAGGCCATTCTCATAGGAATTGTAGCTGATTGATTTTAGGCATTAATTTTCAGGTTTCTTATTAAAAATAAAAAAAAAGTTTCTTATCTATTAAAAAAAAAATCCTGATGAAAACAGAAAAAAAATTATTGTGTGTTTTCCAAGACTAGACAGTAAATCTGATCTCCTGTACACACTTTCTCATTAGTTTGAACCACATGCCTTTGAAGCCTCAATAATCAAAGTAATCAGGTCACCCAAATCTGAGACTGAAATGTGAGACCAAAATGGTACTTCTTAAGGAGTGATGGCTTACAAACAGATAGGCTAAATAAACAAAACTTAAAAATCCCAATCCTCAAGTGACAAAACACATGGGTAACAATAGTAGTCTGCTGCCTCTGAAATTAAAGAATTTGCAGTAATTGTCCTCCTAATCATATTATTACATGCAGTGTGTAAACAGCATATTTCAAAATCCCTCCCATCAAAACTAAAAGTTTCTATGCACTCTGAGTGGATATATATAAAAAAAAAAAAAAGTCTTTGAGAAATGGACAAAGATGGAGAATCTATGTAAAAAGGATTTCTACGCATACCAAAATAATTTTGATAAATTACATACCAAAGTATTTTTGACTCAGTATTTTGATAATGCAATTTTTTTTTCCTCATTTATTAACACGTTTTCAGGATTTTACCATGTTGACTTAAACATCTTCAATTCTGCAGCCTGGTTTAATGTGATCTGTATGTAACATATCCCACTGGTGATATGAACTACATGCTTCCTCTGTCCAACACACAGCTTCAGCTCCAAGTGCAGTAGCTTGTACTCTTCCATATACTGTTTTTCCTTTGGTCCCCTGTGTCAGGCAGAGTTGTAACAGTTAAATGCAATATTTTTAATATTACACTAAAAACTGCTCCTGCTCTATAGAATGTGCTAGTCCTGCAGAAGTGAAACTTTGCTGGAATATTGATCACTCAGTAGGAGGCCAAGCAATCAAATATTGGCAGTTTCTGCAGAATATTTGCAGCCTTTGTTTTTAGTCCAGCAGCCTGGACAGAGTGAAATTGCATTGGCAAGCACACAAATTGGTGAAAAAATTTCAATCCCCCTTCCAGTGCAGTTCCATGGGATTCAAAACACCACAAACAACTTCTGACCTCTCAGAGCAATGACCACTCCCAAGCATGTTATTCTCCAAACTGGAAAACTATGCAAAGAAAACTAAACTAAAAAAAAAGCTGGTATTATTGAAAGAAAGAAAGAAAAAAAACCCCCAAAAAACAAAAACCAATCAAAACCAACAAAACCAAAACAGACAAACAAAGCAAACCATGCATTCATTATCCAATTAAATATCTTTTCTGTAATATTTTGCTTCAAAAAAAGAGAGGAGAGGAACTGGAGGTTAAAAAACAAAAAGTATGCTAAAGGGTTGAGGTACATATGGTTCAGTGAGGGATGTACTCACAGAGGTTTCATGAAGTTCCTCACATTATCTGTATTGGCAGCAAGCAGTGTTGCAGGGCTTCTGGGCTTGGGTCTGTGGGATGACTACAGAAGACCAGAGCAATGTCTGTAGCAAGAACAGAGAAATGACCCTAGAGTACCTAGGAATGAAACTAAAGAGAATTACAAGCCGATTTTAAGGGCAAGACATCAAGAAGAAGACAGGGATGCTGAAAAAATGGAAATAGAAAACCCCTTTAAAATTATAAAAACCTAAAAGATTCATTCAGAATTGTCTCCTCCAAAGCCAAATATTCCGACTGCCTCACTTCATTGACAATGACATTTCCATGGGGCCTGGAATCTGATCTGGCACATATAATTTACAGAAGCTTATAATTTTTTTTTTACTGTAGCAGCACACCAACAATGATATACTATGGATTTTAGATGAGTATTTTATATTTCCACAGAAGTCAATAAAGTCATGCCATCAAAAAGCTTGCTTTTAGATTCACATAAAATATTTTATCTCAACGAACAATAGAATCTCTAATCAAATTGAATCACTTCATATTGTTACAAACTGCAATTAATCTGCTCAGACTGAAAAGCCATATGAATTTTTGACTGAAAGGCATGTCATTAAGTTTCTCAGTTGTTTACATGTAATGCAACATGACAGGAATTTGTATGGAGATGAGAGAAAATGAGCTGTTTGACATTAACTGTTTGGAATCCTGTCTATGGCTGTTTGCAGACTGCAGTGGATTGGCAGGGCTGATCATGAGCATAAGTGTTGGATTTCTAGGAGGATTTCTCAGACTGAGTTGTTCTTTGAGGAACATTTGGTGAAAACTCACTGTGTCTTTGAGTATTCAAACCTAGGGAGGAAGTGAACATTATCATCACCATTTTTTAGCAAGAGTAAATAATAAATCTACAAAAAGGAAATACTTGATATATATTAAGAGGACAGGTAAAAAGTGATGTAATTTGTACCAGAAGAGTACCTGCCACCTCACTTGTGCAGTGACTAGTTGGTGTTAGCTGGGATGTAAAGCCAAGGTGAGTGTAGGCTTTGGTCTCTGTGCTTAGGCTAAGGCTGTAGGCAGAGTTATCTTATTTAGTAAAGTTCCTTCTGTTGTGCAAGTTTTTTTTTAGCATGTTAACCTAGCCAGTTAGTTAGAAAGCAAAGAGAGACAGAAGTCTCTCTCCAAAAAGAATTACATTGAAAGCACAAACCTGGAAAGTTCAGAGAACAAGAAGCAATTAAAAAGAGCCAAGTATTTATTTATCTGTTTGTTTAAACTTCATGCTTGGCAACATTCAGACAGCATTCTGAACTGGGGCTGAATTAGAAGCTTGAATTTCTGAGACATATTTTGGTTCAAAAATGAATGATGGTCTTGTTTGCTAATTTAGGACACCTCAAATAAATAACATCAGGGAACAGAGGGCAAGTAATCAGCATTTGCTGTCACTTTGCAATGTTTTGAACTGAGTACCTGAGATATTGAGAACCCCGTAATCATCAGGTGTTTTCAAAATCTTCTTTTAAATTTTTTTCTGCCACAGAAGAATAATTTTCCTTCAGAGATGAAGTGTCCCATCCTCTGGGAAAGTGCATTTGATGACAGGAAAGGAGGAAAATTCATTAGACTAATCAAGAAAGCAATTGGAAAACCTGACTTCATTCTAAAAAAATGAATATGTTCATGGAAAACCAGCCTAAAGTAAGGCCTTCAAATGAATCAATTTTGAAAAAGGAAGAAATTACATTACTGGCATTAAAAAGACAAGTCTTGAGACACATGTCATAATTTCTTCCACTGGCAAAGAGATGATGCTGAGCACTGGTGAGAGCAGTCAGTCTCAGCGGGTCCCATCCCCCGGAAAGTTTTGCGACTGTTCTCAAGCACAGAGGGATATTGTGGTGTCTCTGCCAGCCCCACATCTCAGCTGCCTTTTACACAGGTGCCATACTGCCTGAATTGCTTGTGGGCTTAGCTGTGGGGCTGGACCAGCCATCAGCACACTCAGGATTTGCTCAAGACACAAACACTGCCTGCCTTCATCTGGGAACCCTCGTGGCACAGGGGCTGAAGGGTGACACCAATGTACTTTCATTGGTTGTTTTTTGGAGAACTGGATTAACAACTGGATTTTTTCATGGATCTGCTTTTATTGACACTCAGCAGCTCTTGCTCACCATCCTCAGCAAATGCACTCCAAAGCACACAGTCAACTTCCATGGAAGATGGATACCCTCATAAAGAAAAAATACAGAAATCTCAGAGGGAACCACAGAAAGAAATAAACCACAGAGCAAAAATTCTGTTCCTCTGTAAACTAGTTGTCCCTCAATTAGGTAATTAGATGTGTAAGAGACTGAAAAGGCCTCTACAAAGACAGTGCAGTAACTTTTCACCATGTCTGAGATGATAAAGAAGACAGCTTCATTAAAGCCAGTGGAAAATTATTAATAAAAGTGGTGATTTATGTGGTACTCCTGTTTCTCTAGCTTATTCTTGTGTTCAACTGATCTGAGTTACAACAATCGGATCTGTGACTATAAATATAGCATTTCTGGCTTTCATTCCCATTTTGAAGACTGAGTCCAGTAAGTGAGGACCAGTGAATTTATAAGAGATATTCAGGTTAGCCTGTAAGACAAATTTATGAGACTGAACCTCTGGCAAGCATCTGCATCTGTTCTATTTACTCAGGTAACATGAGAGAGGCCACATTACTAAAACACATCATAAATGAGTTACTAAATTAGGTCATTCAGCCTCAGCATTAAGACTGGTAGCAATTATATATTGGTTTATTTTATTAATGTGGGCAGTTACCTCTCTAATGGGACTCAGATGAGGATGTTCTTACCAGTAATGGGAAAAATAATATTTCTTAGTTCTTACTGTCTCCTCCATTCTTATATGTATCTAGAATGACTGAAATCCAATGCCTTCAGAAAATGTAACCTCTAAAGTAGTGCTTTCTTGAAAACAAATTTTAAAAACCCCAACAAAACAAACCAAAAAATCCCCTGACAAACGAAAAACACTTGAATTGTACAAAATACCGTGAGAAAGCTTCTCACTAAATAGTTCCTCTGGCAAATCCAATAATGGAAGGAAACAGAGCACACTGAATGAAATCTATCCCATGTTAATTATGTTGCTTTTTTCCCTTAGGAAAGACTGTTTGGTATACGGCAGAATACAAACTGCTGAAAATTAAAATGTGCTGCAGAACAGAAATCTTGTTAGGTTCTGCTTAATGTTTAGCCTTTCACTTGTGAGCTGGGAAGATATGGCAGTTCATGCAGGAAACACCACCTCTCTGCCAGGCTTTGCACGACAGGACTAATCAAACTGTGCACGCAGGGCACGCATGCACTTACTCATGACAAGACAAGGGAATATTTTTGGGGTACAAACATAGAGGCAGCTGCTGCAGCAATCTAAGGTACTGCTGTTTGTGCCTCCAGCCTCCTTTCTATACTATGGAAATGCAAATGAAAGCACATCTCCATTAAATTCTGTATTTTGAATATAACTGAAACAAGGACTTTTGACCAAATCAAACTTCTACTGCTCTTTTGTTAGTGGCACTTATCTAGCTAGATAATGAGAAGTCATCTTGCTCTTCAGCTATAAAAAGCTGCTGTGAGTACATAATACGGTTAACAAAACACATGCATAACTAAGCTTAATTTTAGAAGTTGTCAGTCTCAGTTTTTAAATGCTGTACAATGTACCATAGTCCTAGTAATACCATAGTATGAATTATGGGCAATGCTGGCCGTGTTCCCACAAAAATGAGATAAAATATTAGAGCTGCTCCTTGAATTTTGCCTTTCAGCAGAAACTATTGATGTAAACAGCAATCCGTCAACTCGCCCATTGCAGCGTAGGGTATTACCATTGTGATGAAATACCAACAGACATTTTTACCCCAGAGCATCCCTCAAGAGCAGGGTGTAGCCCAGAGCATTTGCTTTGATCCATCCCACTGCCATTTGCTTGATGCTTTTTCCCTGCAGACCAAGTTTCAGATGAGGGTTTGAAAATTTGGGCCAAAGGATACCTTTACCTTTTCAAAGGAACTAGGCTGTTTGCCCTGGTTCAAAGCATTATGAAAAGTTCAAAGGGATCATCTGACAGTGCTGGATAGAGTAGATACCAGCATTTATTAGTGATATGAGTCAGCAAATAATCTCTTGTCTTGGAAAGTCAGAAAGGTTGTAGCTGTCGGGTTCCCCACAGAATTTGATATTATGTCATGAAATACACCAAATTTATGAGTGACTCCAACCTAATGATGAATCAGACAGCTTTGTATGGAGCATTTCATTTAGCACGCTGCAGTTCCCACCTCGAATATTCCCATTTCCAGTGAATGTGGCATGTGTATAACTGGGAGATACAATTGCATAGCACAGTGGTATCTTTCACAAGCAGGCACTTTGGGAAGGCTCAAACTTCAGGCAGGATAGCCAAAGTCCTTCTGTTGAAAGCTGTAGGATCTCACCCAGAATCTAAGAATAATTCAGGCTGGAAGGGACCTCCATATGTTATTTGGGAAAATTACTTGCTCAGAGTAAGACCTGCTGAGGTCACATTTGTTCAGGGCTTCATATAGTCAATATCTGGTTATCTCCAAGGTGGCTGATCCTGTAGACTCTCCTGTCATCAATTCCTGTATCACCCTTCCAGTGGAAAAAAAAAATCAACTTAATAACAAGCGAGAATTTCCCACATTGTGTTTGGTATCTCTTGTCCTGTTTTCCTCTTAGAAAAACTTGGATTCAACTTTATACAGATGCTATTTTCTCTAGCTGCTACCAAGTCTCCTGACATTCTTCATTCTCAGAAAAAAAAACCCTCTCTCTCCAAAACATTCAGTGAAGATGACCAGATTCATCTTTGCCCCCATCCTCATTCATGACTTGCAGTCTTCCTTCATCCCTCTTTGGAGCCACTCCATTGCCTAGACCAGTGAATGAGTTCAGTGCTGAAACAGAGCCAGCCCTTGTCTTCTTTTAGAGAAGTCAGAGAGTCAGCAGTGCTCTACAGCTAGGAAAGACTTTATGACACAAATGCACATGGCCAATTCTTCAGGTAGCAGGATCCAAAATTCCTCAAGCCAGAAGGCTCAGGCCAAAGTTGATTTAGCCTTCAGCAGAAGAGGACATACGGTTTTCTTGGTATTTTCTCCTCCAGGTATTTAAAAATCACTCTTTTCTCTCTTGTGATCCCTGTAAACTTCTCTTCAGCCTGTGTTTCCTAGGCAGCTCATGCATGTGGAAATAATTTCCGAAATGCCAATATTCCTTTTTTGAGTCTGCCTCAGTTCAAGACAAAAGAGCATGGCTGTATTCAATTCTGAAAGGCTATTCTGCACTACATTAGACCAATAGAAATACTCTCATTTTTTCTTGTCTTTCAACATAATATGAGGCTCCTATAATTTCTTCCCCTTATAAAAATATATATACAAAGGCTGGGAAAAAAAAGCAAGCCCAGTAGTATGAAAGAACTACAAAAAATCCTCATATTCTGTGTATTGACAATCTGGTCATAGTCAGGTTTTGATGTACTCAACAGGGAATTTATATGTATAATAAAAATTTACCTATGTTGAAGTTAGAATGATTGAATTTGTATGTCTTAAGGCAAAAAGTTACTGCAGTAATCTACTCTGAGATTGGAGTGTCATGTCTAACAAGTTCAGGCCTAGTGGTGACATCAATATACTGTGAGATAAGCAAGAGCTACCCAAAGGGCTGCTACTAGTCACTGTACCACAAATTTACTTTGTATCTCTGAGCCATTAAGATTATGTTCACTTACTCTATTACATTTTACACAGTGACTTCATATTTTTAAAATAATTTTTCAAGAGCTGAAAGTAGAATTTTCCCTTCTCTCATTTTTAGAACTAGCCTAAGTCATATTTGGGTCCAAGAATGGTAGGGTTTTTTAATTTTCTATCCTGTCACTAGAAAAATATTTTAAAAAAAAGTTTTGTAATTTCTAGCAGCAAGGAATTGATGGCAGCAATCAACCAGCTTATTATTATTATTGGAAATACCAATTTTGACTATAATTCAAAGCATGCAGTACAGTCATGAGGATGTTTCCACGCAGCAAAAGTTCTAGAAAGCATTTAAGTGGCTTAGTGAATTCTCCACATGGCTCTGGGGAGCAGATATTGAGGAAACTTTACAACCTTTTGAAAGAATATTGCATGTTCTCCCTTCTCCTTAGAGTTCCAGTCTGTGAGTTTCACAATTAAAGCCTCAACTCACCCCAAATTATAAGGGAATCACCTGCCACTCTACACTGACATCAAGAACCCATTTCACACAGAGTTTTTGGCTGGTGGCTGGATGGAGGTACAAGGGTAAAGGAACGTTCATACAGCATTGCAGAAATGTAGTCTGAACCTTCTCCCTCTTCAGCAAAGACCATTTATGTGCTTTGCTGAATTCTGTGAGTTCAGAATCATCAGGTTGGAAAGTACATGGAAACCCACAGGATCCAGAACATCCACTCACCACAACTACCCACTGCAAAGCTCACAAAGGACTGGGGCTCCCAGGCTCTCTCTAGGCTCTGCCTTGTAGAGTGCACCCAAGGATGCTTTGAACTTGAAAATCTCCAGCATCTTAAGTCCAGGTTTCCTTCACCTCAGCTTGGGCTGACTATAAATTCAGTCTGCTCTTGACCAGGTCAGAGCCCTTTGGAAAGTCCCAAGATCCTTACAAGGCAGGATCTGTGTAATGCTTTCTGCCAGACGCTGTCACTAGAAGATCAGCAGGGCAGTGGGAAACTGCACAAAGTATCAGGACCTCATAATGCCACAGGGGAGCCTTCAAGAAGCAGTGAGCACACTGCTGAGTTCCGAATCTATCAGAGGCACAAAACCCAGACAGACTTGAGATAATCTCCTCCACCTCCATTTTCCAGTCGGGTAGTTTTCTTCTTCCCATTTCTCCCACTGGCTTGTAACTGCTTCAGCAATTAGAGACCTTCTACTTGTCAATGTTTTGTATTCCTTTTCTGTGTGTGCTCTTTGCTTAATTAGGTGTGGTGCAGGGAGGTTGGACTGAGTGACCCACTGTGGTCTGTTCCAACCTTACCCATTCTGTGATCCTTGCCCCAGATGATGCCTCTGATACTCTCTTAGAGAGCATCTGACCTTGACTTAGGCAGCTAATCCCAACCTTCTCACTCTGCTGTAGGCAGAGTAGATGTTCCTCTTTTCCTGTAGTTTCTTCAATCCCTGATATTGATTCTGGCTTTGCCTGCTGCCCTCCGCAGTGGAGGCATTCCTCCAGGAAGGAAAAGAGAGGTTCAGTGTCAGCAAAGGCCAACATTTTCCTGTTCACCAGCCCCATCAGGCTGAGATCTTCATAGCACTGCAATGATGTTTCACTGGTGACATTTCTTCCCTTCCCTTGGAAGAACTGTTTCTTCTTGGAGTCTTCATTCTTGCCTAAATAGAGCACACGTCACCAAGTGTTGCTTATTCAGGGAAAATGGCTATTATTCCTTTAATATGAAACAGATCAATATACCAAAGACTTGGAGCAACTGAATTAGGAATTAATAGGAAAAAAAACCCAGAAGATGGA